ATGATGAGATGGAGAGGTAGTTAGATAAATAAGTAAAAGTTGTGAGATCTCACTAGAGTGGTGAATATTATTGTAAGTTCAATAAAAGAGGATAATGTCCTAGTCCATTTGAAATGTTTGTTGAGATTTAAAATATTTGTGCGATATACACTATAATTGAGACTTCTCAACATAATGGTATTGTTGAGAGGATAAATCGTACTTAAAAGAATATGGTTAGGTGTATGTTGAGTAATTCAACATTAATGTTTTCTGTGTGGATGCATGCATTAAAAATTGATGCATATTGGGTAAACCAGGTTCCTAGTAACGTAGTTCCTAAAATATCTTATGAACTATGGAAGGGTAGGAAACCTAGCTTGAGGCATCATCATATTTGGGGGTGTCAAGCAGAAGTGAAAGTATGTAATTCACATGAAAAGAAACTTGATCCTAGGACAGTCAGTGGTTTTCATTGGCTACCCGAAAAGTTCTAAAGGATATAAGTATTATAGCCCTAACCATAGTACGAGAATTGCTAATTTCGACAATGCTCAATTCATTAAAAATGATCAAATCAGTGGGAGTTTGGAACCGTGAAGTTTGGATGTTAAAGAAACTCGGGTTGAACAGTCCAAACCCGATAGTCCATCAATGGTTATTATTTTTTTTTTAGTTAAAGTACTGTCATGTAACTTAGATAAATAATAAAATGATCTAAACTCACTTGATAATGAATCGATTACAAAAAATTAAGAAATTATAGAACAACCTTTGGTTGATGAATGACAAGCCATGAAAAGTGAAAATTCTAGAAAAGTTTATCAATGCCATGAAAGAATAAATAAAGTCAATGGATGTAAATAAAGTCTTGAATCAATAAATTTACCTGAAGGGTCTAAAAGAGTTGAGTGTAAATGGGTTTTCGAAACCAAACACGACTCTAAAGGTAATATCGAAAAATATAAAGTTAGACTTGTTTCTAAAGGTTACACCTAAAAGAAAGGCATTGACTACAAGGAAACACTCTCTCGTTTCGAGAAAGATTACTTAGAATTGTAATGGTAATGGTGGCTCTGTATGATTTTGAGCTTTATCAAATGGACATAAAGATCACCTTCTAAATGATAAACTTAAAAGGAGACCTACATGAACTAATTAAAAGTTTTTGAGATCACAAGAAATGAAACGTTAGTGTGTAAGTTGAATAGATCGATATATGGACTAAGACAAGCCTTTCGTCAATGGTATCTTAAGTTTAATGATATCATCACTACTTATGGTTTTGTAGAGAATACTGTAAATTGGTGTATCTACATTAAGGTCAGTGGGAATAGATCTGTTATTTTAGTTCTGTATGTCAATGACATATTTATAGTTGTTAATAATGTGGGCATGTTGCACGAAGTAAAGAATTATCTCTCCGAAAATTCTGAAATAAAGGATATGGATGAAACGTCCTTGCTAATTGGAATAGAAATATTCTGGAATACATCACAAGGACTAAAAGTTTATCCCATAAAAGTTTTATTTGAGAGATAATGGATGGTTGTTCAATAAGAATAATTCTAATTCATAAAAGGGGTACATTTAGTCTAAATAAATGTCCGAAAGGTGAAATGGAATGAAAAGTGATGGAGGAAATTCCTTAGATATAAATGATTAGGAGTCTTAAGCGAGACGGGTCTGTACTAGGTTTAATAATATATTTGTTGTTGGTACTTTCAACAACTATAAAAATGATTTTAAATGATATTATGCTGCAAAGAAATTTTTAAAGTACTTACAAGGCATTAAAGAACACATGCTAACTTAAAGAAGATCCAAATTATTGGTTATGATTGGATACTCAGATTCAGACTTTTGTTCATAATGTCTAAAGGAGCAAAATTATAAAAAAGTGGGACAAAGTCCATCACCGCGACTTCCACGATTAAGCTTGAGTTTGTGGTATGCTTTGAGGCTACAAGTCAAATTTAGGGCTACGATGCTTTATCTTAGGACTTGGAAATGTCGACATCTTGTCCAAGCCGCTAAGAAATTATCGCAGTATCGTAGAAATAATATTTCAATGAATGACAAGTATTCAAAGGGTGTGAATCACATAAAATTAAAATACTTGGTCGTAAAATATAAGTGAAGAAATAAAGTGTCATTTGAGCATTTTAGTACTAATTGCATGAAAGCGGATCCATTAAAGTGTTATTTTGAGAATAACGAATGGGGCCTTGTTGGACTGACCGGTACAAAATGAAATTGCTCAATTAATGATTTTGACACTTATTGAATTTGATTAAAAATGTTTGGTTCTTCACATACAATGTAATCATTATGGATATTTGATTTTATAGTATATACATAAAAGTTGGATGACTTATGGTTATGGTACGAATAGTTTGTTTCATATTAAAGTAAAGTTGAATTAGAAATGATTTGTGGTAAATGGAAGGGATCATGTCGCTCGAAGACTTGTGACCGCCATGACTCGGTTAATTTCTATTTTAATTTTAAACTTATAGATATATGTATTCAATCATAAGTTTGATGAAAGGTGCGCGCTTAAAGTAATTCTTTGGGTGTCGACACTATAGTCCAAGTGGGAGAATGTAATAATATTTTTATATTATTCTATTATTGTGGACCATATAATTAGTTGGACATAATTGAATTAATAGTCAAACTTATTTAAGGTGAATATGTATTTAATGTGTTATTAATGTTCTAATATTAAAGAGTCCAATTTGTGATGTTTGACTTGGACAGTAAGTAAGAGTTAGAACATGATGAATTTTTCCCCTATTATAGTTAACGTAACCCGGAAATTATCATTTATCTTAATGAGACTCCTTTACTCCTTAAATTAATACGTGCACAACTACTTCGGTAAATAAAATTAGAAAGATGGCCTACCGACAACGTACGTGCATGGTTATATTTTTGAACGCATTACCTAACATACGTGCACAACTATTCTGGTTAATAAAATTGGAAAGATGCCTACCGACAACGTAGATGGTTTATATTTTTGATATAATTACCTAAAAAAATTAATCGGGCAATGTCTTTTAATTACACGTTTAAGATAGCCAATAGGGAAACATTTCTTTCTTGCACAGGACTGTGAAGTTGAGTAAAAAACAGATATGCAGCTTGGCTTTATTAACATTATTTCTTTTCAAATTCCAAATAGTTAGGTTATGACTTCCTACATCATTTGGACTAATGATTTATAAATTGCACCCAAAAAAAAAATGATTTATAAATTAGTTAAGTAATACTCGGTAGTTATATATAGATATATGATTTATAAATTAAATGTGCTTGGTTATTATTATTTAGCAAATGTTTTAAGAAAATTGAGGGAAAAGAGTGATGATAAATAATGTATGAAAACCAATTTTGTTCATATTCAATCCTCGTAAATATAGCATACGTATTATCGACCTATATCTTGTACTTCCACTTGAAAAATCTATCGAATTAATTAAATTACTGCTTATAGCACAAGAACAAAACGTTAAAAGAATGATTTAAGAATATAGGTCATTATTTGGACCCATAGCTTTAGACCATTCTTATCGGTGACCCAACCTATTGGGTCACCAGCTAAAAGACAAAAAAAAATATAAAATAAAAAAGAAAATGAAAGTGGAGAATTTTGAGCGATCCAGTTCACATTGTGACCTTGGGTCGCAACTCAGTGCCTCAATTTCTTTCTTTCTTTTTTTTTTCATACTTTTTGATATAGGGATGAAAGGAATGATACTTGTCCCATTCCCATGGTCACTATAAATTTTATATAATAAGAAAAGTATAATTTAAATTATTGATATTATTTGATATTAAAAAAATAAATAAAAAATATCAAAATTCGTATTTTTTCATTCTCTATAAATAGAGACCACTCTTGATATATTTTGGAACACAATTGAAACTTCTCTCTTTTCACCTTTTTTTAATCATATTTTATTAATTTTATCTATTTTTTTTATTTTTCTTAATTTCACAACTAAAACAATACCAAAAAAATGTATTGTAGATAATATTTAATAAATAAAAATAAAATAAATATTATGTTGGGTTGAGTTGTGGATAAAGATATGTAGGTTGTTAAAAGTTGGATTGTGTAAGTGGATGAAAGAGAAATAATTTTTTATTATTGAGTTGAGTTGGGTTGAGTTGTGGATAAAGATAGTCTAAGAACTTAACCGATTTCATATTATTTTTAAAGAAAAAAGGTATATTGGTATTCTATAAATTATCTTTATTTTTATTATTATTTTATCTTTAAAACTACCACATGTGGTGCCATAACCATTTTTTATTTGCATTTTGTAGAAGTAACAATTTATTTCAATGTTTATAACTAACACATGTATATTTCAANGTTTTAGTTCATAATTAATATATATTTAAAATTATAAACATAACTGCAAAAGACAATAATAAAAAAATAACTTAAATTAATTTAAATATTGAATAAAATAAAATTAGGTATATGTATTCCAGTATACAACATAATGTAAAAAGAAATAGTACAAAAAAATTCGTACATATTATTTATTTATTTATTTAGTTAATTCACTAATTTTTATACCATAATTAAAAAAATTATTTATATGACAATAAAAGTTAAATAAAACAAGGTAATTAAATTAGTATAATTAACTTACGTATAAGTTTTATAATTAAAAGTTTCCATGTAAATTAGTTAAATTGTTTTCCCTAATTGCTTCCTTAAATTAGTTGTGAATATTAACTTAATTAGAATTCCATGTAACTTAGGGTTTCGGCGTTATTTAGTTTTTTACATTCCTATGTTATAAAGCGCAATAAAAGGGTTGTCTATTCAACAGCACCGACCAAAATCGTGTTCTTCTATATTCGCGTGAGTTTTTCTTTTGTTCTCGCGTTTTGGCTGTAATCTCGCCTGCCTCTCCAACGATTTTCTGAAAGTTGTATTGTGTGCGGAGATGACAACAAATCATATCTTTTACTTTTTCTGAATTACTGTTATAGCGTGGGCCATTATAACAGATCCGTACGAGTACTCACTCCACATCGAATACACGTAACACGATTTGGAAATCACTTACTAAAACCCAACGCAATTATTTCCACAACACAACCAATACAATCCAACTAATTCAATTTAAACAATCAGTCACACATTAAATACCCCTCCTCCTCGACAGCTGGACCCTCAACCCCTCCCTCGCCTGCAGTATAATCGAGTCACGTGGTACCACCACGTGCCCCTCCACCATCCGCACCTTGTAACGCCACAGTATGGCGGCCGCCACCATCTTCATCTGAACAAACGCCATCTCCTTACCCAAACACGTCCTGGGTCCCGCATTAAACGCCGGAAACCTATACGACGGCACGTGATTCACACCTCCCTTCCCCGAAACCCACCTCTCAGGCTTAAACTCCATGTAATCCTCACCCCACACGCCCTTCATCCTCCCCGTCGAGTAAAACGAAATAATCACCTTCGTATTCGTCTCCACATAATGGCCGCTCGGGAGAAAATCCGGCGCCGCCGGAGCCTTGTGCTCCAGAGCAACCGGAGGGAACAACCTCAGCGACTCACATAAGGCTCCGTGCAGATAAACCATCTTCTTCGACTCCTCTGCTCCGAAACGTCTCGAACTGCAGCCTCCCTGCTCGATTTCCTCCAAAATCTTGGCCTCGACAGATGGGTTTCGGCTTATGAGCCAGAAGAGCCACGTGAGGCACGTGCTCGTCGTGTCCCGGCCTGCGAACATCAGGCTCAAGGCCGTGTCTCGAAGAAAATCCCTCAAACCTTCCGACGAGCCGTTTTTCTCCAGGTAAGCATCCTTAAAAGCAGCAAGCAAGTTGTGATTATTGTAATTCTTCTTCTCGATTGGAATATCGACGAGTGGGTATATGAAATCGTCGAAAGCCTTCCACGCGCGGATGAGTTTCCCTTCTTTCCCGACGCGGAGCCATTTCTGAAGCTTCCAGATGCCCTCCGGGAGCAGGTGCCGGTACAGCAGCGCCTCGATAGCGTCGTTGAAGGCCTTCTCGCAGTCGACACGAGGCATCTCGACGGACAGGCTGTGCGGGTCGTGGTCGAGCACGATTTTGCATATGCCGTCGAAGGTGAGCCTCTGGAAAACGTCCTGCAGGTCGAAAATCGCGGCCCGAGCAGAGAAAGAATCGAGGACGGGTAAAAGGGCGTTTTCGACATTTTCCCAAACGGATTTTTCGAGGAGGCCGTGGAAATTGGGGTGAGTAAAGAAGGATAGGGTCGTTCTGCGGTGGAGCTCCCAGAGCTCGAAATCGGCGTTGAAGATACCGTCGCCGAGGATTTCGAAGATCTTGCGGAATTCGGGGCCTTTGGGGTAGTTGGAGAAGTTGCGGCTGAAGATGTGGTGGATGTTGGCGGGGTCGCAGGTGGCGAGCATGTCCGGGGAGAGGTAGCGGGGGAACTTGATCTCGAAGGTTCCGCCGGATTCGGAGAGGACGTCGGTGACGTAGGCGTGGATGCGGTGGCTGTTGCGGATGAGTGCGGGGAGCATGCCGACCACCGGCCAGTTGGTGGGAAGAACCGAGGTCGGTTTTTTATTTGGTTTTTTTATTTTACAAATGGATAAAGAAATCAACGCGAGCGCGAGGGCGATGGTGAAGGTGAACAGAAAAAACTCGCCAGAATTGGCCATTTTTTTGGGGGGGTTTAATTGGGGTTGTGAATTGTGATGGGTTTTCTCTGCAAATTTGTTGCCTTTAATAAACAAGAGTTTTGGTCCTTTTCGATGATTTTACTGTGGCGTACTGTCACTATGAGGTGTGGTCATTGTCATTAACACCGGTGTTGTTAAGCACGTTTTTTTAACTTCCTAAGGCATGGGCGATTAAACATTTAATTTGTTTTGTTTTTTTTTTTTNACTAAAAGTTATGAAATTAAAAATATAATTATGACTAAATATTATATTATATATCTTAAATGTAACAAATGAAGAGGTGGGAGAAAATATTTTACACTTCTTAAGAAAAAATTAAAGTTAAAACTCTAAATTTTTTCTTTACTTAAATATATAATTTAATTTGATCCGAGTATATAATATTCAATTAATAATTAATAATTTTTTATTAAAAAACTAAAAAATTATTAGTTTTGTTTTCTAAGAAATTTAAATAACGATAATTTGAAATTCGTCTTAAAATGAGTTGATAACATATGACTCTTCTAATGACTATTAATAACATTATTTAATTGTGTCTCACGAAATAACATTTTATATATTCAAGTAAGAAGAAAAGTTTTGAAAATTGGATGAAAAGAATATGAAAAAGTATGTAAAAACGTATTAGTTTTACTACTAATAATTAATAATTATTTTTTTCATGAAATTTGTAAAAAAACAATTAAATACATTTACTAAAGAATTGAGAAAATAAAAATTAAATTGAGCCCTAGGGTAAATGTGGGCCCTGGGCGATTGCTCGGTCGCTCTTCCCCGGACGGCTCTGTTGGTAAGCAATAGCATAACAAGTTTTTCAACTAAATTTATTATGTTAGTTTTTCAATCATAATTAACAATTATCAAACAATCAAAATTGACAAATTCAAATAAAGAAATGCTGATAGTTAAATTCAGGAAAACATGCAATTTTGAAAGATCTGTTGAATTATTTTATATATCTAATTTTGAATTACCTAGTTTATTTTTGGGAATAATTATTTGGTTGTTTCTTTTTCAAATAATCCGTTAATTGTTAGATAACAAATGTTAAATCAACATTTAAGATGTGTACAGTTAGTAGATTCTAAAAAACTTGATGCGTTAATGAATTTATTTTTTAAATGATTTTCAATTTAAATTATAAAAATACAGCTAAAAAATATCTGCTACTCAAAAATAGATACGGACGAGCTCAAAAAAATCTACGGAACGTAGCAATAGAGTGAGTCAGCAGCAGCAGTTGGTGGATAGACTTGCCCCGTCTGTGACTAAGACAACATTAATTCTCAGCTTTTTTTTTTCGGTTGGGTGGTAATGCAAGTTAAGTTGCTCGTAATTTTGTCCAATGGGACTCTCTCTTTTCTATAAAATCAGGTGCCTAACTGTTCATTTCACCATCATTTATGTATTATATAATTAAACATAATGCATGGTTCCCATGCGTGTTCAATTGATTCTCGTGGTTTTGCCTCCAATAGTTATTTGAACCCAATTTCCTATCAAAACTCAAAATATAGCACTTGGTTATAATTTAATAAAATTAATTAAATAAATAATTGATATATATATAAAACTACGACAAAACAAAGTCACTCTAAAATGTACGTAAAAATAACGAATGTCATGGGACCCTCAGTTAAAGTCACATACGCACAACCCACGCCAACTATTGTTGCACCCTTTTCTTCTCCATCGCGGAAATCAAAGAGGAACAAGTCTCCTCCCACTCAGGGAGAGAAAGCCATGAAGAAAAGAACGTTGCCCTTGCTATTGGCCCTCTGCCTGTTCGTGAGCCTTCAGACAACTCTAGCAGTGAGTCTTCTACTAACTCTTGTAAGGGAACAAATACTTTGAATTAAAAAGAAGGTTCACTGGAGAAAACTATTGACAACTTCGTGGATCCTTATGTGGAAATTATAGGAGGAACGATCGCACCGCTTTCTGGTTGCCGCCCGCGTGCTCGTTCTTGTTCAGACGGACCATCTCATGTTGCTGAAATTGATGCTGAGGAGGAAGACAATGCCTATGACCTTAGCAGTGTCTACTCATGGCAATATCATTCTGCTTTGGCTAAAAATCATCATACTAAGGTGTTTTCTCTCATGGGTTTTCATTTTAAGTGGCATATCCTTGTCTTCCATTTTGAGAAGATAGGTGTATTTGATTTGTTCAAGAGTCTTGGAATTGAGAAGTCAGTATCGCTTCTGTCCACGTCTAGTTTATGATTTCTATGCGAATTTGTGTGTTGTTGTTAATGTTGTTGGTTCTGTTCGGTGTCGTAAGGCATTTGTTAAAAACCGCATTATTGAATTATCTCATGTGGTTATCCTCTCTTCTGTCTTCCTTCCTCCCGCTTGGTTTTTCCCTCCTAGGCGAACTCGCCCTCTCCTTCTTGTTTTCCCCTAGTCGGGGCACTTGTTCGAGCTTCAGAAATTCAGCCTTTAGTTTCTCTAGATTTACATACTTTCGACACTACCTCAACACTTCAACATACGTCATAGCGCCTTTTTTGGCCAAAAAGCTCCTACACTCCCCCGCCCTCAGACTCCTTGCGAGACCTCCTGCCTAAATTTCATCTAAGGCTGAATGGATCTCGATGCAAGCCCTGTTATAACGGTCGATGTAACCTCTCAACGACTCATCCTCTTCCTGCCTCATGGCCATCAGAGGCAAATAAGTTTTCTCCGGAGCTATAGCGATGGCATACTAGTTAAGAAAACCCCTCAAAATCCATATTCGACCCCGGGGAGAGTTGGTGAAACTAATCTTGTGTTCCTCCCCTCATGGTTTCCAAAAAAGCTCAGGATCTCACCGTATCAGAGTATCCCAGCAAGACCGACATAGCCGACCGGGTCTGAAGACCCATTGTAACTAAGACTAACCTCTTTGAAGTTTGTAGGTAAATCTGTCTCTAGGATATCGCGAGAGAAATGATGACCTCGCGCTCGCCCCACCTTCTTTCCTTTGACCTTCGTTTGAGCTGCCGGATTTGCTCGACCATCTTTTCCAATGCTCGATCCTTCTCGACCTCAGTCGTCCGACTGCTGGTTTACTCTAACTCTGTTTCTTGCCTGCTCACTTGGGTAGTGGTATTTGTCGCAGTAATCGAGTGATCGACCTGCTGGGCCTGCATCTTGCTCGTTCTGTCTCTTGAGCCTCCACCAGCATCCTCGTCACTTCTTCCTTAGTCGTTGTGATGATTTGTTGGGTGGGAGGACCCATATGCGGTCCCATGAGTCAAGTCTAAAATTTTAGCTGGTTCTGTGCCGATTGGTTTTGTACAGTCACCGGTTCCACAACCGCGACCTCCGCCGGTACTCTCCTCCCTGCGAGCTCAAACCGCCTGTAGTGGGTGGTACTACTAGAGGGCTCCCCATGGCTTGGATGTTAGGCATTAGGGTCCTCAGGTCCTTGGAACTAACTGAGAAACCGGGTGGGGGACCTGCTCCCCACAGCTTGGTGTTGACTCTTGCTTCATTGAACACGGGCGTCAAGTTTTGTATAGAAACTTCATTTACCATGGTTGTAAATCTGGCTTTTCGAATGCATCCCACAGACGACGCCAATAATAACGAAATAGACTTCACTTGGTCTTGATTCAAGCTAATGCAATAAGATTTGCATTCTTCTAACACGAACAGCCTCCAAACCTACAAGAACTCACCACCGGAATGGGGTTTTTCGGTGGAGAGCCTCTGATGCCTAAGTCAGTGTATGAAAACTATAAACAATAATAAAGTATATGAGAGTGTGTAGAGAATGTAAAAACGTAGCTAAACTACCACACCCCATTATATAGGGGTGTGGTATCTTGCTCTCTAAGTATGCTCGGAGAGTTGACCCAACTGCCTGAGCTGCCCGTCCGCACGGTACACAGTGCTGTAGATGGTAAGACTTTGCCAGGTGTGCAGACGATCCAATCTCGTTACGACACATGGTTCAATCCCCGAATTATATGCCCTCTGTCCTATTCATGGTATTAGGTCCACGTCACCAAGTAGAATATACATTGTGTAGAACATTTTTTTCTCCAGTTCCCCTATTGCTCTTGAGGTCGAAACAAGTCCCTTAGGTCGAGCTAAGTTTATTAGGTCGAACTCGGTATAATCGCACAGGCTATGCATTATTTGTACAAAGTATAATGAATATGTCAAAAGCCCTCACATTTTTCAATTGGAATAAGAAAAACATGAAAAAAGGTAATCCAACTTCAACGGCCCAAGCTCAACTTTAAAATTTGGGCTCAATAGGTTGATCCATACCCTCAACTTTTGCTGATTCAAAAGTCAAAGATATATTTTTATTTTGAAAAAAATTAGGAAATTATTTGAACATTTTAAATCAAAATTTCTAACTTGTCCAGTTGCCCTCCATAATTATTCCTCCGTTTTCGTCGCTTCTCTCTCTCATTTCTTATCCTATAATTCCTAAACCTTCAATTTCAGCTCCCAATCCCTCTCTTATTGCCAGCCATATCTCAGCTGTGTTTTTTCCTTAGTGTTCTACGGCATATTTGAGATTGAAGGTGTAATTTTCCCCACGAAAAGATTGATGGTTTTTGCATCGATCCTTCTAGATTAAGCTATTAATTTCTGGTGGATTTTGGCGATCGGAGATGGCTTCGGCATCGCCGGCGATGAACAAGATAGAGAGGGCGCACCAGATGTACCGGGACGGCAAATACCGCGATGCACTGAATTATTACACCGACGCGCTTTACATGGCAAAAACGACGCCGCAGAAGATTGCTCTCCACAGCAATCGCGCCGCCTGTTATCTCAAGCTCCACGATTTCAACAAGGTAACTGCTTCTTAACTTCGGATGGCGAAACTTGTTATGTGATATCTCGATCGCATGTGTATTTCATCAGTCCTTACTTGATGTTATGATTTAATTTATTTTTTATTGGAAATTTTTGGTCGATGGTACTGGCACTGAAAGCGCTTGTAATTTTGATAGAGATGAAAATAACAAAAATGGTCATCTCAGCTGCTATTCGTGATAGATATAGGAAGGTAGGTTGAGGGAAACATTAATTGGGTGAGAATGCCATTCAAGAGCTTCAGAGACTGGTGGCACAACTTTTTAACTTATTATTATTTTTATTTTTTTATTTAATTGGATCTGATTGAGTTATATAACTCCAATTAAAACTCTCTATCATACAGTAACTTCAATTGCAAAACTTGATCGAGCTTCCTCCCTTTCTATTAGGTCGTGAATCCCATAATACATCAAGTGGGGAGCTAGTGAACTACTACTCCACTTATAGCTAGTGCGTCACCTGTCAGGTGCAAGGAAAAAGTTTCATCTGGATCTTGGCACACAGTGTGACTTGTATGTGCCTTTTGTAATTATTTTGTTCCAATTAGAACTTTTTGTGTGTTAAATGAATCTTATAAAGGAAATTACAAGTACCCTGAGGGCAGTTCAGTTAATTATATGACCTCGGTGACCCTAATTCTGGATTGCATTTCTTTAATTATTCTGCATTTGTAGTACACTTCTCCTTTACTTCTGGCTACTGCTGAGTGATCATAAAACCTTTCACACATTGGTTACAATAACTTATATACTTCTATTAAACATGCTATATACCAAGTAACCTTTTAACTGGATTATTAAACTGAGAATTTTTGTTCTCATTTTTCTTGTGGTTGATAGTGAGACTTCCATTCCTATATTATCTGTAAGCTCTAAAATTTTACCACTGCAGCCCTGATGAACAAGGGTAGATATCACATTTTGATTCAGAATTTTCATGTGAGTTTGGAATTGTCTTGTTGTGTGATTCAAATATCCACAAGATACATTAATGATTAGCATCACATCCATCATAACCTAAGATTCAGTGCTTTAATGATGGAAATCAAACTCGGTGCTTTTTCGTGACATGTGCAATGAGTTATAGAATTAGTTTCCATAGTTGGCCTTTTTCCTAAGGAAGTTGTTTCAGTTGTCTCAATCGACATTTCCTTAGGGGTCTTAGGCCGAATGATCGCTCCTGTTTCCTTATGGATCATCTATCAAACTGAAAAGGGGTAGTATTTGACGATTGTCTTGATAAGTTGGTATGGTCTGGATTCACTTGTTAAATTAAAGATGTATTCTATGGAAATAGAAATGACGAGGAGAAGACAATATAACTTCCATGAACCTATTGTTTACATGGTTATCTTGAAGTTGATCGAGCATATTTTCAAAATTACAGGCTGCTGAAGAATGTACATCTGTTCTGGAGCTTGATTACAAGCACACGGGTGCACTAATGTTGCGCGCTCAGACTCTTGTAACCTTAAAGCAATATCATTCTGCCCTTTTTGATGTCAACCGGCTCATTGAGTTGAATCCATCTTCAGAAGTGTACCGAAACCTTCAAGCACGTTTGAAAACACAAATGGTACTTCATCGTTTTCTTCACTAAGTTTTCTTGGTCTTATTTTGTCAGCTTTGTTTTTCATGCGACTTGTGTTCGCATCTCTGTTTTCCCTTGTTTGTTGCTTGAAAGCATCATATGATGCAAATGCATTAGTTATATGGCTGAGAATGTGGTTTCCATTTGTCTAAACATTTTCCTGTCAATATTTTACTTCTTCACTGAAAAACGTAGTGTTTTGTTCAAGGAAAGTCACTTGCCCCGATACCCGAAGACGAAGCCGAGTGTGAAGAAGATGATAGCTACGTAGACGAAACAGAACTCGACAACAGCAATGAAGAAGGAGAAAAAGAAGATGACGATGAAAAGGCTAAAGATCTAGCAGCCAGAGAAAATGGCGGACAAAATAATGCCGTAACAGCAAACAACATAAAAAATAGTGATTTTCAAAAAGTCAAATTACCATCTGAAGAATCACTCTCCCGGAACCAGATGGAGCAAGGACAGCCCAATCGACGGGCCTCAGGCTGGCAGACTATCCCAAAACCAAAAGGGCACTCCAACCTTGACTACTCGAGGTGGGATCGTGTTGAAGACGAGTCGAGCGAAGAAGAAACTGACGACGAGGATGAAGATGACGATTGTCGCCCTCAGTATCGGTTTCGTGTTAAGACAGTTGGTGTGAAGGCGGTTAAGTGAGTGGGACCCAAGATCCTGATTCGAATTTGATGAGGGTATTCTTGCTCGTTTTTGCCTCCTCAATCTGTTGACATGTTGGAAATATTAGGTCCATATCATATACAATCACGGGTCTCTGGATATGCGTGCTGGGCTGCGACTTTATCAGTCGTCAATGCAATGCACATGACCCTTTTTTTGTTTGGTTTTGTTTTGTTGTTTGGGTTTTAGTATTGTACACAGGTTCCCAATGCAAATGGGATTTATGCCAGCATACTTCAACGTCTCTACTTTGTTTTTAGATTTACAAGCATGCAATCCATGTAGTGGTGGTGGGGGTGTAACTTGTAAGACAAATTGTATTGAAAGATCAAAAAGCTCCGGTCGTTTGAGCTGAAAAGGTTTATAAATTTTGAATTTGTTGGTTTTTTTTTCTAATAGTTACAGATGCGGGTTTCTTTGGTTGTTCCATTGATTACAGAGTACACACTATTTACTGAACTTCAGCGCTAACTATTGCCTAGTTCTACATGTTGATTTACAGGAAACAAAACAAAAGAATCTAGAGAAAAAAAAAAAATTGGATAAGTAAAAGATGATTATCGAGCCCGAATGATTTTCTGATGAATTTCAATCTTAGTATGTGCGTGATAAATTCATATAGAAAATCTCTGTTTGTTCAGTTATATTCACGTGATTTCTCTCCTTTTTTTTTGTTATGATCTTCAAGATTATTTTTCAAGTAAAATACATGTTCATAATAGGAATCAACAAAATCAAATCAAAACATACCATACACAAATATTTTTTTACACATTTTACTATATTTTAAAAAAATAGAAATAAAATAAAATATACCAAACACATATTAATAAAATCGTATTCAACACAAGGAACTTCTTATCAAAATGTATTTGTTTGGAATTTTGAATGACATTTTGAGACTTTTTGAGATTTGAGATTTTTTAATTTTTTTTTTCTTCAGATTTAAGGAGGCATCAAGTGCAATTTGGGTTTTTCTTATAAAATTCCAACAAATTTTAAACAGTCTTAACAAATCATAATTTCAAATAAGTTAAATGTCAAATTTTGATAATCAGGGCAACAGAGGTGCGGTCCCACACAGTGAAGCGCATCAAATGAGGCTGATTCTAGTTGCACATTAGTGAGATTCCATCAAAAAACCATTTGGTGATGGGAGGAGTAACTCACTAAACTTATAAACTATGCTCATTTAATCTATCAAATCAATGCGAGACAACTCACAAGTGATATTTTTCAACACGCCCCCTTGCTTGTGAGTCATTCATCAACCCAAGCCTACAACCAAGCCGAGTACATTTAATCATCATCATAAACCCGAGCTTACAACAAGATCGGGTACATTTTTTTTAAAAAATCATTGCAAATCCCCAATTAGGCCCGCTCTGATACTATGTCAAATTTTGATAATCGGGGCATCACAGGTGCGGCCTCACACAGTGAAGCACGTCATAATAGAGTGAGCCTACTAAATTTATAAACTAGGTTCATTTACCTTATCAAATCAATGTGAGACAATTCACAAGTGATATTCCAACATTAAATAACTCAAGATTTTGTAAAAAAAAAATTATAATCACGAACAAATACCTTAAGACTTTTCAAATTTTTAAACAATCTATATTAAATACATCAAGATTTTTGAAATTTTAAAAAATATTTAGAAATCTCAAACGAATACACCTCGTAACTATTTAGGTTTTCTTTACCTGGAATTCTGTTGGATTTTCGAACAAAAAATTATTATTTAAAACATTGATTGAATATATTTCAGCTTAAAAATTTAAATAGGAAGGATAATTAATGATCAATTTTTGTATCTCACTCAAAGTATACAAGAAAAGAACAAAGAAATTATTTAGAATAATTGTGTGGGAAAAAGATTCATTGAGAGGGAAACTCCAAAATTTTGAAAGATGGACAGCCGCCCCATTCCACGTAATGCCTCACGAATACACTTTTTTACATTCGCACAAACAAATAATAACAAAAAGCAAAACAAATTTCAAAAAAATATTCTTAATTATCGTTCGTCTACACACACAATCCTCCGACGACGTCAAACGACGTCTCCCCAATTTCCTCCTTTTATCTAACCGCAGCCCAATCTGCCTAAATCAAGCTCCGCACCCGGCGGCAGATGGCGCACGGCGGCGGCGACGGAAATTCGGTGGGGCCGGACTTCGACCTACCCGACGATGTTCTGGCGGTCATACCCACGGACCCGTACGAACAACTGGATCTGGCCCGCAAGCTAACGTCAATGGCCATCGCGTCGCGCGTGTCGAAGCTCGAGACGGAGACCAGGAGCCTCCGCCAGAAGCTCAGCGAGAAGGACCGCCTCGTTGAGGAGCTGGAGGACAAGGTCTCCCAGCTCGAGGGTGCGTTCCAAGACGCGGAAATGCGATTGAAACTCACTCGCGAAGAAAATGTAATTTATCAATCCCATGAATTATTTTTTATTTTTAAATAAAAGCCTTGTTTTTTGTGTTTCTTTAAGTGGATTTAAGGTTCTTCAAAATTGAATTACAGATGGAGCTACTGAAGGAGAGGGATTCTTTGGCTTCCACAGCAAAGAAGCTCAGTCGTGATTTGGCCAAGGTTTACCTATCTCTTGTATTCCCACTTTAAATTATTATGGGGTGAAGCATAAATGCCGAGAAGTCTACTTAAATTATTATGGGGAGAAGCATATATGCTGAGAAATCTACTCTTGTTTGTTTTAGGAGCGTGTATTCGTTTAGAGGGATTATTCAGGAGGGGAAGGGAGAGAAAATAGTAAACCTTGTTTGGTTCAAAAATTAAAGGAAGGGAAAATAAAATTAAAATGACAAACTTACCCTTAATGAAATAAGATAAAAAATAAAAAACAATTGAAAATAGGGACTAAATGGTATTTTCACACCATCTTAACACATTTTCCTTCCAAATCCCTCCAATTTTGGAGGGGAGGTAAAGTGAGGGAGGGGAGGGAAATTTACTTAAAATTTTCCTCTCCCTCCCCTCCTAATTTTTCAACCAAACAAGAGAAAACTAAAATTTTTCATCCCCTCCCCTCCCCTCCCCTCCAAATCCCTCGAACCAAACACTACCTAAA